CCCCAAAACCCCAAAACCCCAAAACCCCAAATTTAGCATTATTTCATCAGAATTCAATGTTATGAATTATTAATATTGAGATAAAATCATGTTTTCTTAGCTTTTTTGATCATATCTATAGGAATTAGAGAACCAATGTTTCCTCTGCAAATTGGGCAGGTATATTTCTTCTGTTAGATCTGATTTCCACAGTCTCTGCAGACACATAAGTGACTGCAAGGCATAATCAAAGTATCTCTGGGTTCTGTTAAGCAAATCAAACACTCTTTTCCATCTCCATCATCAGCAACTCCTTCTTAGGCTGAATCTGAAGCCTCGCCTTCAGCTGTTGTTCCAGTTGCCATGTTAAGTCCATATATATTCTTGATTTCAAAGGGGATTCCATTAATCTATCAAATATAAGATTGATAATTAACTTACAATAACTAGTTATTTGGTGATATGCACTCCATTGATCTTGTTGTTACCGTCCTTATTGAAGTAGCCATAGATAATAAAAGCATAAAACTTTCCTCTGCCTTAGTAATTGACACTAAATGTTATTGGGTAATAGTTGTATTGGCACTTGTGGAGCTCAAAGCCAGTCATCTTGGCAAGGTCAAACTTGCACTGATTGAAGTTAATCTCCTACTGCATTCCCTTTTTCAAATGGATTTCTTGAGTGTAGTCATCTTTATTTGGAGTATACATCATCTCAGGTACATTGTTGATATTTTTCTTTTCACTGACACAAGTGTTAACTCTAATCAAGCAATCACTGAGTGAATCAACCTTAAAACTTAATTCAAGCTTGTTATCAGCAGTTGTGTTCTAAATAGGTAAATAAGAACTCTGATCCAGGGATGAGAGGGTGAACACTTACAACTTTAATAGATTCTTTGTTCAAGTACACAAGTAGCTTAAAGTTCTTTAAGTCTCGCTTGTTTTATGTCATCTTTCTGTAGATCTATTGATATTGGTTGGCTCTGTTGGGGTTGAGAGCTTAATCCATAAATTGCATTCTTGGATCGTCTTGTCTCTGCTGATTGATTGGCTGAGGAATAGGAGGCACTTATTGTATCTACTACTATTGATTTGCTCTTTATTAAGCTAGTGGATTAGGCTGTCTGCTGCTCTAGTTTTAGTTATTGCCAACTGGACCTTGATAAGGAGCCTATTGTCTCTGCTAGTTTTATTGCCTTGCTAACTAATTCCTTTGCTGGCTTGAATTGGGTCTACTTTATTCACCTCCCATTAATTTTATTATGTTGAATTATTATAAATCTTTAAATTTAGGGATTTGAGTATTATAATCTATTAATAAGTTAACAAACGATGCATAATTGTATTAATTCAGAGTAGAAGACCCTTAAAATATTTACTAATACATTCATTCTGTCATTTCTAAGTCATATCAGATAGAGTTCACTGCTTGAACCATTCATCCTTTAGGATTTCATCACAGGAGGGTCTTTTATCCCCATTAACCACAAATATCCTCTTGAACAGACCCTTCAATTGTGCTGAAACCTTTATTTCCTTGAACTCCTCCTGCTTAGCATAAACCTCATCTGGGAAGTAAAAGGACCCTTTAGCAATTTTTCTATAGAGTTCTCTTTCATTCTCAGCTCTGAAAGGGGTTCGACCGAAAACCATGCTATACAGGATAACACCTAGTGCCCAAATATCAGACTATTTCCCGCAATAATCTCGCTTACTGACTATCTCAGGAGACATAAATGAAGGAGTCCCGCAGAATGTCTTCAGCTTTTTATCTACTTGCATTGATATACTAAACCCAAAATCAATAATCTTAACCTGATAATCATGAGAGAAAAAGCTACCAGATACTTTATCATCGATAAGTATATTATCAGGTTTGAGATCACGATGAGCAATGTTTTATTTATGCAAATAGTTGACTCCCTCTACAATCTACTTGAATATTTGCTTTGCTTCTTTTTCCTCAATTCTTCGGTACTTTCTCTCCTTCAAATAAGAATACAAACTTTTGCCCTTCACATGCTCCATTACAAGATTTATAGTCTTATTGGTGTCAATAGACTCATAGAACTTTACGATGTTAGGATGATCTAATCTCTGAAGCAAATTAATTTCTCTGCTCACAGATCTTTTCTTTACTGGGTCGTTTAGCCTTAATTTATCATAAATTTTCATAGCAATTTTATTATTTGTCACCTTATGTCTGCATTGTCTTACGATTGCATACGCACCCTCACCTAATTTTTATCCCAACTCATAATCATGAATTGATGGCCTTTTCTATAAGAATTTTTAAAGTAATACTCCTCCCTCGTCTGCATTTCTTCCGCTTATTGGCTTTGAAATATTATCTGCGGTTAAATCAGCTTGCTTTTAAGTAGGTATTATATTTGCTTATGATTAAGTTCTATATATAGGGGCTTAAATAACCTAGAACTAGTTTTCATATGTCTTATTTTGTCTTATTGCTTTTTCAAGCTTTTATCCCCTTGAAACAACCTTATCATTTTTATCTTAAAGCAAGTTGAAAGCTGTCAGAGGTGGTTTATTAGCATTAGAATTAGTTATTGGAGCAGATGGAGCAACAACAGTTCTTTCATCTTATAATGTTGTTTTTGGATTTGATTAATTATTTTAATGATTTGTTTTTTATTTCTTTACAACCTTCTCCCCGAGTTAGAAATTTTACTTTACAAAGTCTTAAAACACCTTATCAGCCTATTTCATCAATGGGTCTTTCTAATTAACATTAATATTCTCTTTATTGCCAATCCTTGTTTCATTTAATTATCTATTAATAGGTTTATTGTCAGTTGGGTCTTTCATGGCGGCAGAAACTATCCGTTTAATATTTTATAGCTTCGTCATAGCTAAACCTTTGGCAGAGTTTTATGGTTTTGGTGGTTTATGTGAATTTTCATTGATATAATGAGTTCCAGAATTAACTAATAGTCGAGTAGTTTGATATTTTTTATTATTTACACCTAAAGCGCCGCTTGTAACTTTTGATGTTTATGGTCGCAAAATATTGTTAGTTGTTACATTAATCTCATCAAATTAGGCATCTATAATTCTATGCTAGCCCGAACTTGATAATGGACGTAATGCTTAAGGAGTAGGAGATCTTAAGTGATTGTTTTAATATCGTTAGAGTTAATCTTCATGCAGTGCAGCATTCATATCCACATAGCTAAAGTTAGTAGGAAGTATTTTCCTTCCTGAATTTCGTGGATGATTGAGCTTTTCTGAGTTTCCGTTAGTGCCTGAATTTGCAGAGAAATCTCTAATTATTTTTTTCCCTTTTGAAGATGGGTTCAAATTCGGTGATATATATTAGAATGGAGGAGATATATTGCTCAGGGCACTCGTCTTATTAAGTAAGTTGCTTGAATCTTGAACATTAAATATCATATAGTTTCTTCTTGAGGTGATTATTGGGTGCTGATTGCCTAAAGAGGGAGTCTTCATAATCTCTATTTATTTAATTAATTTGAATTTATGGGTACAATAAACGTCTATAACATGCAATTAGTTGTTAATTACTTGGTTGATTTTATACATTATCTCAATATAAATTTGGAAGTATGGGGTTTTGGGGTTTTGGGGTTTTGGGG